TGCGGACGTGTCGAGAGAGCGCTCCGTAGGAAAGAGTAATTAAAAAGTAATTAAAGTAAAATAAAAGAAATAAAAGTACGAGGAAGTGTAAAAAGTGAAGAAGCAGCAGAGAAAAAAGTGTAAAGTTAATAATTNTAGAGAGGCCAGTTAGCGCCCCGGGACATCGGGTGATAGGCGCTTGTGTTAATAATTAATACTTTATTATTCAATAGAGAGGCCAGTTAGCGCCCCGGGTCATTGGGTGATAGGCACTTGTGTTATAATATTACAATTTTCAATTTTCGCTCGTCTTTGGCAATGCCCTTTCACTGCTGTGCTGTCTGCTCGACGGAACATTCTCCCTAGATTGTATAGCTAGATATACGATCTAGGAAAAAAGTTCCGATATTGAATCCGCCTAACCCAACGCTGGTCCTTAGTAGGAATATCTCATGAGGACCTCCCGTTCAGTGTAGGTATCCTCAATAAGTTTCTGATCGGGCGGTAACGCCTCGCTAGAGCTTCGTTGAAATGTATAGGTATGTCCTACCTGAGCAGCCCATCTGAGGCTTACACGCAAAAACGATTCGTACCGTGAGAGTACAAGGGTCTACTTTAAGAAAGTTGGAACACATATTAAACGCATACAGTACAGCTGTCTGCTCGCAGCTATCCCAACTTTGGACTCGTACAGTTTAAAGCAACGCTGTACTGTAGAGGTTTAGGGAGGGGGCTATCTTAACCAGCGCTTAGAACGCATACGTTGCAACCTCCGAGCTCGAGCTGTAACCACCGATGCATCGTTACGGTGTATATAGTCAGCTTCTGCTATATGTACATATGTCTGCCAGACAGTACGTCTGTAATCACTATATATATACATATACACAGTAACTATAACATCGGTAGATACAGCTCGAGCTGGGAGGTTGGAACGTATACGTTCCAAGCGCTGGCTCCGACAGCCCCCTCGCTAGACCTCTACAGTACAGAGTTGCTTTGAACTGTACGAGTCCAAAGTTGGGATAGCTGCAAGCAGACAGCTGTACTGTATGCGTTTAATGCATGTTTGTACTCTCTTCAGCTGGGCCCCTGTACTCTCACGGTACAAATTTTTTTTGCGTGTGGACCAATTGGGATCGACCAGAGCTCGTTTTGTTCGTCTTTTTGCCACGCATACTCCTATATCTTTTTCTTTTTATATTAAGCCTTATTATTCATTTCCGACGCTAAAAATCGTGCTTTACCATTTTTGCCATTTTTTTTGAAGCTTTAGCGGAAAACATTTTTTGTTTGATTTTATTACAATCGATTGGTATTGTTTAATTCTCTACAACGTATTTTTTTGAGCTAGTCTGAATTTCCATTGCTGAAAACTTAAGTCGATCCCACTATTAGTGAAGGTTCAAGCGACGACGTTTTGAAGACCAACCTAAAACTACAAGTAATATTGATAAGATTACTGTTCAGAATCATGAAGCAGCAATGTTTGTTTGATTTACGCGCACTTTTCCACAGTTGAGGTGATGGCAGCACTGGACAGCTCATGAACTACAAGCCTGACTAACTTTCAATGTTTTTTAGTTGCGCGCCCTTTTCTAACACGATGGCGTATGTGATTGGTCTGCTTTTGCTGTTTGCGAGTTTTTCTATCACCTACCGTTATATGTACTCATATTTTTCAGTTAGTAACTAGCTCTCAGCAAGTTAAACTCAAGTCTATTTTTTTTTACTAGTCATCAAACAGTTAATATTCAAAATCATCTCAGTTATTATTTCAAGCTAGTTAATCATCAGATATATCAAATAGGTATCAATAACATACTGGTCAAGTTGATATGTTCATAAAATAAGTTTCATACAAAAACTGCTCATGTAATCAGAGAATATAGAAACACGTCTCTTATGCTATTTCTATATTCTCTGATGTAACACATATGTTGTGAGGTTAATATAATTATCAATCACAAAACAACTCACAGTGGATATAGCTCAATGCATCCATTAATATTTCATTCGTGCCTTTGTTGCAACAGTGTTGTAATCAAGTGTTGTATTGTTCATGAAGTTTAAAGTCAGTGAAACTCTTACTCAGTTCAAACTATCTCATATAGATACACTCTCTACAGTTACACGCACACTAGACAATAGAGTGCACATAGGCACTTTCACGCTCTAGTGTGTAAATATATACTCTGTGGTTATAAACTCAATAGTGATACTCATTGACAATTAACTTCTTATTACTTTATAATCATTTATTTTATAGACTCAGTGTTAGTATTCACTTTAAGTTTAATAAAAATTATTGTTTTACAGAAATTTATAGATTACTCATAATATTATTATTTTGTTGAAAATTCAGTGTAAATATTGTTTATAAAATT